CAAAAAAAAAAAAAAAAAAAAAAACCAAAATTAAGGTAGAAAAAGCTTGGACCAAAACAAAGCAAACAGAAAAAATGGCAATCCTCATTACACCATTTTCATACTCACCACAAGCTTCTTCTCTTTACCTTAGGTCCAAATTACACAACATCAACATCTATAGTACTTATGGCTATAGAAGTAGTACCCCTCTTCGTTCTTTTGTTCTTTGTTCATCTCAACAACAAATTTCTCCACAACCAATCTTGATTGATAAATCTATATTAAGTATATCTGAAGCTAAATCTGAAAATGAATTATGGGCTGCTTCTTGTCTTCGTGTTAGAACTTTCTATGGTTTCCAACATGATACTCTCAACACAGAAGTGAGTTGCTCTTTGGTCCACACATTTTTTCTATATTTAGAAATAATTTAATTTTGAACTTTCCATTTTAGCCTTAATGATATAATTTACAGCTCGCAAATAAATATTGTTAGTGTCTTTTAGCCGAGTGTCAGTCTCTCTAACATTATGGGTTGTTGTTGTTGTTGCAAATAAATATCGTTTGTGTATATAGTTTCTGTTGTTTCTGCATAACTGTTTTGAATTTTTATTTTTATTGGTGTAAGAATTTGTGGAGCGGAGGGTCTATCGGAAATAACCTCTCTGCCTGCACAAGGTAGAGTACGGTTTGCGTACACATTACCTTTCCCAGACCCCACCTGTGATAATATACTGGATATGTTATTGTTGTTGTTGGTGGTGTAAGAATTTGTGGATTTAGTTCAATTTATGTTTTTCCTCCTTTTACCTTCTTTAATTTGAATTTTTTATTTTTATTATTTGAGATTCATTGTGATTTATGTTAGAGCTTGTGAAATTTATCTTTCCAATAATATAAAAAATTCAACCTTTATATTTTACAACTTATTCTCTTTTTTTTTCTTCATCCGGAAAAGAAAAAAAGTTCCTTTTTTGTATTTAAATTTTACATTTTGTATTTGAGTTTTATTGTTATTGATATGAGAGCCAGTGAATATACCTTTCCAGGATTATTGGGTTTATTCATGTGTTGAGGACTCTCCGAAGCAGCTGCCGCACTCGTGTCGGATCATCCAAAAATGTTCTACTTTTGGAGGATCCGACACGCACGCATCGACTTTTTCAGAGAGTCCGAGCAACATAGGTTTATTCTATTTTATCCTAGAATTCTTATTTTTTCCTTTTATTTTTGTGGCAATGTTAGTTGCAATTAAAGAAAATTGTAATCGTTGATTAATTAGCATGTTAATTGCAATCCATTTAGTTTTTGAGCAACTAAGATTAGGTGATAATCATTTTTACAAGTTGTGTCTAAATTTCCTAATATTTTGGATATGGAGCTAATCCTGTTAAAGTAAAATACTGATTGTTATATCATCTTTATCAAGTTCTATTAGGATCATACAAAGTACCTGACTGAACGTGAGTTTGAAGCACTGACGGAACGTATCGCTGGGAAAAGAGTCGGCTTTGGAAGAGTTTCTTGCATCAATGCCATTCTTCCATTTTCAAAAGTCTCAAATGTTGCATATGATTTGAGTACTTCTTGTAAAGTAAGCATCTTTACATTTTGTTGCAAAAAGAGAATCTTTGCCTTTTGGTTTCTTCGATTCTTCGTGTTTTAACCTTCTTTAGTAAAGTACTTTGATTGCTTATAGAAACTAGTGTATGAAATTAGTCCTTAGATGAGGCTTCTTTTTTCCTTATTAAAGAAAATGACGCCTTTTTTTCCAGAAAAAGGAAAACAAGAATAACCACCGGAAGGATATAGAAGCTATTCACATTCAACTTGAATGAGTCAATTTTAAGTGGTTCGCCTCCGTAAGTTTACTCGTAAATTGTGAACTCCTTAATTTCCACTCCGGTGTTTACACTATTTAAGTTGAGAATTGTTCTGGTACTTGAAAACATAATGTAGCTTAGATATTATGATTAAGTCACATGCTTTCTCCACCAATTATAGTCTTGATACGTTCAGTGGTAAGTAATATTTTATTTGAGAGTCCGTGTAACCACATTAAAGCATCAAAAAACCTGGATTCCCAGCCAATGACAAGCATTACTTACCATTGAGCGTATCAGACTATAATTGGTGGAGGATAATATTAGCATCTATTTTGTTTTAACTTGGGTTCCTTAAGCTTCTTTGCTGGAAAGCATGTGACTTAATCATAATATCTAAGCTACATTATGTTTTCAAGTACCAGAACAATTCTCCACTTAAATAGTGTAAACACCGGAGTGGAAATTAAGGAGTTCACAATTTACGAGTAAACTTACGGAGACGAACCACTTAAAATTGACTCATATGTTGCACGGACTCTCAATAATTCTGCCACACCTGTGTTGGATATTTCAAAAATGCACTAATTTTTGAGGATCTGACACGCACCTAGCAACATTTTCGAAGAGTCTGAGCAACATAGGTTTGTTGCGATGGTCCAAAGGGATTTGGTATGGTGGGAGATCCAATTATTTTTGCGCTAAGATTGAGGGATGTGGTCAACAAGATCTAATGCACTTGAAGTGGGGTGTGCTTGAAAATTTTCAAATGACTAATTGCTGGATGTGAAGGTGATATTGGATGTACTTTCACATGGGGTGCTGGAGAGATAATTATGGAGCAATTGTTTGGAAAATTTTGTTTCTAAAATAGAGAAAAATCGCATGAAGTTTCTAACCATCTCTAATTTGGCAAAGTCTGATTTCTAGCTATGAAAGTATAATACCAAATGAAAAACACCAGCTATCTCAAGTTGTTTGAAAGAAGAAAATAAGTACTATCTACAATCAGTTACGTATCAGTTATTAACTAGTAAGATATGAAGTTCGGCAACATGGACCTTTGCAGGGTGTGTATATGCAGATCAGCGTAGATACTCGTTGAAGAAATATCATTGCAGTACTGCAATTATATAACGATACATGATTTTGATGAACTCTTCTTATTGGGAGAACATACATCAGCATAATTTTCTTCTGTCTTCTTTTTTTTTTTGGGGGATAAGTTGATTGCGGAAACGATCTTGCATATGTGTGAGTTTCACATAGCAGGTCCCAAGCCCAGACTAAGGAACGGGTTGCGCTTGGTTGATAGCCAGTGTACAAAATAGTCAAAATTATGATGAATTCTCTAAGCATTGAATTCGTCTGGACATTTGAAATGAAATGGGCTCAAATGGATTGGAATGAATGTTTTGAGGATTCATATAGCATATTTCATCTAGTTTGGGATTGAGGCATAGCTGTTTGATTAATTGACTGTCGAAACGAGTATTAGAGATAACTAGATGTTAGCAGGACTCGTTTATCTTAAGGTCTGGATAATATTTCCTCATTCTTTATCATTTTAGTTTTCGGGTTCTTGAATCATGTCGCACTTAGATCATTCCAGTTTTTATTCACTAAATCTTGGGAATAAATCTTTGGATTCACAGGTGTACTAATCTACCATACATTGTTGCCTGCGTCTGTATTAAGAGTCGAGTCCAATTGTACTTTATCCGTTGTTACATAATTTTTTCAAGTTTCCATTACATGCAGTTTTCTCAAGATAATGCGGAACTAGTTGTCGTTGGGACACTGGATATTAACCAGTGCATCAGACTTCCTGATGAAATCACAGGAATGAAACCAAAGGTATCATCATATTGTTCATAACTTTGTCTTGTCTTCTGCATTTACAGTACTTATTGATCCTTGCATTTCTAACAGCAAGGACTCTTTGTATAAGAAATCTTATAATTCTACTACATCCAAACAGGGAATTGGAGCTGATTTTGCTAGGGGATATGTGAGTAATGTATGCGTTGCTAAAGAAATGCAAAGAAATGGCCTGGGCTGTGCTCTTATTGCTAAAGCGAAGACGGTTGCTAAAGAAATGGGTATTTACTCTTGCTTTAAATATCACTTTGCTTTACCATTTATGTGTGTATGTGTGTGTGTTTCTGATCAATCTTATATGTATCTATGTATAACAAGCCATGCTAAGCATGAAAATCTACGACTACGATTGTTATCAGATACAACTGCTACATAAGTTATTCAAAATTAAGTGCCTCAGTCCAACACTAAGTAGGTTTACTGTATAGCACACGAACTATGCTTAAGTAGGTGTTTAACGCTCATGTGAAAGTCGAGGAGGAAAGTACTATGTTGCGTGCACTATACGTCTTATTTTTTGGTTATTAATATACGTGCTAAGTGCTCAATTTTAGTAAGGGGAGCTTTGAAGCAAATGTGACATATAGGTCTTGGGTTTGAGCCGTGGAATCAACCGTTAGCCACTTATGCTTGCATGAGGGTAGACTGCCTACATCACACCCCTTGGGGTGCGGCCCTTCTCTAGACCCTGCGTGAATGTGGGTGCTTAGTGCACCTGGCTGCCTTTTTGCTCAATTTTGATTAATGGATCTTAGCTATTGATAATGGGACCGGAGTTTGTATAATTATATTATTATGCAAGAAAAATGGTCAGTGTTATCTCTACCAATTATTGAGCTCTTAACAGGTCTATATCGAGCGATAGTGCAGCATTTTGTTCCATACACCATTTCTTATATCTTAAATGCATTTAAGAACTATATGCCTCGGACTCTGCTTAATCGGTTCTTTCTGTCCTCTGGATTCACAGTAAACTACTATGTTTTTCGTCGTATTACAGTACATGTTACTATCGCTGCTTTATTAACTACATAGTGAAACGATCTACTTGAGTTGATTACTAACGTTATCTTTTTTGCGAATCTTTTTTCAGGAATAAGTGATTTATACGTCCATGTTGCCATTGACAATGAGCCGGCGAAGAAGTTGTACATGAAGTGTGGCTTTGTATACGAGAACGAGGAACCTGCATGGCAAGCAAGGTTCTTAGATCGACCTCGTAGGCTTCTTTTGTGGACAGATCTCTCCAACTCTTAAGATTTTTCGATGTAGAATATACACAAAGTTCTCATTTCTACCCTCAATACCGGGTCATTCTATAGCATTATTATACCTTCCGTATTCATCGTGTGTTGGTTATTTGTCAGCAACAGTTTAGCTTACGATGTGCTTGGACGCCCTCGACCAAAGACGTCCAAGAGAATCAAAAGCTAGAGGAGTTTGTGAAGGGAATTGTGCCATGTGTTAGAAAGTACCTATAATTGTATCATTTTTTATAGATTTTTATTGCAAGTAATTTCTTCATGGGTTCGAGCCGAAAACAGCCTCTTGCAGAAATGCAGGGTAAGGCTGCATACGATAGACCCTTGTGGTTCGACCCTTCCCCGAATCCCTACAGGGAACTTAGTGTATTGGGCTGCCCTTTTTTTAATATTTCCATGTATCATTTGTGTCCATCTTTTTACATATCATATTGAAAATGTAAGATGTTTTGCTTGTTTCTTGTATACATATTATAAATATGAAACAGTTAAATTGACTATAGATTCAGCATCTTGCATATTTAATTGTTTCAAGCAATGGTCCTTTTGATAAAATGGAGCTCACTATTTCTTTAGTGCCTAAGGAAGTCCTTTGAGAAGAAATGATCTCTTATAACTAGTTATAAGTTGAATAGAATAAAATGACCCTACAAATATTTCATGTATTTTGTTTATTCATTTCCTGTGTTATATAACTTATAGTTTACCAACACATAGACGATCTATCCTTTCATAAGGATCTCCCACTTTATAAAAATTCGATCATAGTAATAACTAATAAGTTATCAACCCGAGATCACTTAGACGATCATGAATAATATTTGGGTGATCTATAATTTCACGAGAAAAGATCCTGATAATAACTAATAAGCAATCAACTGGAGATCACTTAGGCGACCAATGATTTCACGAGAAAAAATCCTGATAATAACTAACAAGCGATTAATCGGAGATCACTTAGGTGATCATAGATAATACATAGGCAATTTCTAGGTAACACAAAGGTAATCTATTATTTCAAGAGGATTTTTCACTTTGTAAAAAAAAGGATCATGGTAATAACTAACAACCGATCAACAGTAGCTAATACACATGGATGATTTTTAGGTAATACACAGGCGATCTATGATGTCACTAGGATCTCCCACTTTATAAAAATAATCCTAATAATAACTTATAAGCGATCAATCGGAGATCACTTAAGTGATATAGATGATACATGGGCGATTATTTGGTAACACATAGGTGATCTGTGATTTCACGAGAATCTCCCACTTTGTAAATACGATCCTAGTATTAACGAAGAAGCGATCAACCGGAAATCACTTAGGCGATCATACATAAACATGGATGATTACAGGTAACACACAGACAATTTTTTGGTTTCCCACCTAATGTTCGGTACCCGCATTGGAGCCCGATTATATCCGGATTTGCATGCGTAGGGCCCCATTCGGGGAAGCTCTTCCTACTACTAAAGATTTTTTCATACCCAAGGCTCAAACCCGAGATCTCTAGTTAAGGGAATAGTAGCCCCATCCGTTATAGCACATCCAAAAGTTCCACCTTCTCCATTGAGTTTGTAAAAATTAGAGCTTTTTAAAAATAGCACCTAAAAATTCTCTTGTTTTTCTTCTAAGCTGACACCAGAAATCGAATTAAAATCTTCTTTTTAATAAACTGCCCAAATCTCCCTCCTCTTTTAACAAAAGAAATCAATTTCCAAATCTTGAAATTCAACGACCCGATTTTTCACAATGAAACAGAGAAAAAATCTCAATTTTCCACCCAATATTACCAACATCAAACACAACACCAATGTTTCAAAACCTTCTAAAAACAACAAATTCACACACCCTTTATTAAAAAAAGTTTTTACCCTCTGTTTATGTTTTAGATTTATAAATGCTTTATTGGTTCAAACATATTTCAATCCAGATGAACACTGGCAAGCCCTTGAAGTTGCGCATAAAATCACATTTGGGTTTGTGTTCTTTTTCCCAATTCTTTGTGTTTCTTGAATTTATTTTTTATTTAAATTTTAACCATTTTTGAGATGAAATTTTTGCAGATATGGACATTTGACGTGGGAATGGGAAAAGGGTATAAGGAGTTATTTGCATCCAGTAATATTTGCTGTGTTGTATAAAGTTCTTGCCTTTTTTCACCTTGACAAACCTTGGTTCATGGTAATTATTTTTACTATTTTTTGGATCTTTTAATTTTATGGAGTTTATTATTGTGAATTAAATCTTAAAGATTGAATTTTTATTGTGTAGCTCTGCAAGATTTAACCTTTAAATTGTTTTGGTTGGCTCTTAATATGACAATGTAAATGGATATAGACACACACAGACACACACACACTCACATAGAGTTATAAATTCTAACTGTTTTCGATATGTCTTTAGTTTATAAGTTCTTTTGTAGAGTGGAATTGAAAACAAAGCTGATACTATAGTGCAGAAGCTCTCACATTTATGAAATTAGAAATTTTAGGGTGTCAATGGAGATGTTGAGATTGGTTATTGATATTTTACTCTTTTCAAGTCCTGAAGGGGAGTCTTGGCGTAACCGGTAAAGTTGCTGCCATGTGACTAGGAGGTCACAGGTTCAAGCCGTGGAAACAACCTCTTGCAGAAATGCAGGGTAAAACTGCGTATGATAAACCCTTGTGGTCCGGCCCTTTCCCGGACCCCGCGCATAGCGGGAGCTTAGTGCACCGAGCTGCCCTTTTACTCTGTTTAGCTCTAATTGTCCTATTTTCTATTTGGGTTATCCAAATTTTTTGTTCTACTCTCTTGAAAAGGAAACATTTTCCGTACATTATTCTATACTTTATGTAATATTGTACTATAGTAAAGACGTCATTAGAATCTTTACTGAATTTAAGTTCCTCTCCGCCTTTGGAGCTATTACTATATAAATACGATAAGGCTTCAGCGTTTGCGTTAATATCCTCTGGAGTACATTTTATAGACAGCTTATTACTATATAAATACGATAAGACTTCAGCATTTGCGTTAATATCTTCTGGAGTACATTTTATAGACAGCTTAACTCTGTTACCTGAGTACCCATTTCCCTTACTTGAAATGCAAAATGGTGCAACTAAACGTAAGATATAGTATATGCTGCTTTTTGATGGGCGATTTTCGCTCTTGTCTTTTTGCACATTTAGTTCAGTAATTGATAATTGCTTTATATAAGTGTATGGGTTAGACGTTCTTCCTGCAATGCTTAGTAAAATCTCCATTCTTCCAGATAAGGGCTCCACGGCTGCTGCAGTCAACATTTTCAGCTACTGGGGACATCTATTTGTTTAAGCTCTCTCAAGAGTTATTTGGTGATCATGTTGCAAAATTCACGGTATCCTTCTCGTTTGTAACACATTATTTTCTTGATTCTGCCTTTTTGTTATTTTTTTTTCTTTTTGTTACTCAAAGATCCACAAATGCTCGTGCTCTAATTCATGTTTTATACATTTAACTACTGACGACACTGAAGTACTTAATTATCTGCAGCTTTTTGCCCAGTTGACAAACTGGTTCATGTTTTTCTGTATCACGCGTACTTTATCCAATAGTCTGGAGACTGTTCTTACTGTTGTGAGCCTGTACTACTGGCCTTGCATTAGAACATCTGCTAGTAAAATATCTCCCGGTTCCAGAAAATGTGCTCTAGCTCTAGCTGCATTAGCATGTGCAATCCGACCTACAAGTGCCATTACATGGATTTATATTGGCGTCTTAGAGCTGTACATAGCACGCGATAAGCTGAAATTTATTCTCCTTGAGGTGATTCCTATCGGGTAAGTGTCATTACTTCACAATTTATACCTCAATTTGGTCTTTATGATTGATATCGGTATTTGTGTTTGCAGTTGACTGTTGTTTATTACAATAAAATTACATACTGAGAAACTCTTTTACCTCTTCTAACGCATGGAATCAGGACATTAATTCTAGGACTTACTTTTCTGGTGGATCGCTGGATATATGGCACTTGGGTCCTTGTGCCATTGAACTTTCTGAAGTTCAACTTTCTCTCTTCTGGGGGAGACTATTATGGAACTCACGTGTGGCATTGGTACTTCACTCAGGGTTTTACAGTTATGATCTTCACATTCTTACCATTTTCACTTGCTGGCATTTTTAAGTCTAAGCAGTGGAAGCTAGCTGGTCTAGTCGCTTGGTGTTTGGCAATTTACAGCTTGTTGGGTCACAAAGAGTTCAGGTACTTGTTCAAATTCTATATTTACGTTCCATAATGTTATAGGCATAGTTGATCGAATAAGTGTTTGTCATTTTCTAAATGGTCGAATTACAGGTTTGTCCTCCCCGTGCTTCCAATAGCTTTGATGTTCTCTGGATACTGGTTGGCAACAATTGGAGAACATGATAAGTCTAACGGCCGAGGTAAAAGATCTCCAAGCACTGATAACAGGGGCTCAGGAAAATTGCAACTGGCCGTGCTGTTCCTAGTAGTTAGCAATATTCCGATGGCATTTTACATGAGTATGGTTCATCAGGTATGTCGGCGTTCTAACATTCTTTCTCACCTTCGTCAAAAGCGAGATTTTTCTTTTAAGCTTGAATGTCTGTAGCTTGTTTCTTTTTCTTTTGTTTTGCATTATGGCATCAGAAACTTTCTATTTCCATGATTTTGTTTTTTCATATCTGTAACCTCTTGCTTAAACAGAGAGGGACAGAGGATGTAATGAACTACCTCTCTGTAGAGGCGAACAACGGGAAAGTGAAAAGTATCCTTTTCTTGACACCTTGCCATGCGACACCTTACTACTCAACTCTTCACCGTAACCTTACTATGCGTTTCTTGGATTGCACGCCAAGGTATGTACTCTAGATTGCCAATTTGCTCCGGATATCTCTGGCTATCCTCTTTTGTTTTGGTTAACCGAAGTTGAACTTTTGTCAATGGCATTCGTTTCTACAGTGAAGAGAAGGGAGTTCTAGATGAGTCTGACCAGTTCTTGGTGGATCCAGCTGGTTTCGCAACAGAATTTGCTAAAAACTGGTCTATACCTAGCCACATTGTGCTCTTTGACTCACAGGAAAAACTACTAAAGGACTTTCTAGCTTTGCATAATTTCCAAGAGGTTGCTTTTCTTTCATCTCGATCTGCTTCTAAACAGTTTATATTTTCTCTTTTCTTTCACTGAAGTATGTTTGTGTGATTGACAGATAAAAAGGTTTTTCCATGCGCGCTTCAAGGTAGATCGAGAACTTCAGGCATCTGTTGCTGTGTATGCATTGAAAGGCCAGTGATTCTGTCCTTGATGAGCAAAATAGAATCTAGAAGCTGTCTTTAATTTTCTTTAACTATTCTAGGTGTAAATGTTTTCTAGTATCATTTGCCTTCTGGTTTATATTTCCCTTCCTTCTTTCTTTTGTTCATGGAAAGATTGGTTGGAGTTTCTGCTATAAAGCAGAAATTTTGAAATTTTGTAGACGTGGTTTGATTATTCAAGTTTTGTAAGAAAAGCTAAAGGAAAACACAGGAAAGATATGGAAAGAAGAAAAGAAGATTATTTTGACTCAAGTGACTTTTCTTGCCTCAGTGTCCACATTTTAATTCCCACTAGTACCTGTCTCTATTCATATGTCTGACTGTGTATGATGCATCAAGATATGATGGTTTCAATGTATGATGCGATGCATAGATGTGAGTACGTCAGTTCATGTGAACTATAGTGGCTAGAACGTCCTCTTCGGTTTAGTTTGTTCGTGTTCTTTTCTTTCTCTATTTCGGCAAATGGGACTCAGCTTTAGTCTGGAAACATTACTTTCTCTCCGTTCTGCTTAGTTCGTCCACTGATTGCCTTATGTCAACCATGTTCATTGGTATTGCCCTCCTCTATTCTAGACTCCGTTCAAAATAATATCCAACAGAGAAAAGTGACATTTTGATAACTCTTCACGAGGATTTCAATGCAGTTCAGAATCGGTACTGAATAAAGGAGAAAATCGGAAATCGTAGGATGCTTCCTATTAGCTAATGCTGTCTGCATAATGTTCCCATACCAGTATTGTTAGATTTCTATTACTACATGCTGTTCCTTTCGCTTCGTTTGCTTATTATCTTGTTGTTGTTACTGCTTGTTACTACTGCTTTCTTTTCATCTTTCCTTGAGCCGAGGGTCTATCGGAAACAGCCTCTACCTTCAAGGTATGGGTAAGGTCTGCGTACACACTACTCTTCCAAGACCCCACTTGTGGGACTATATTGGGTTTGTTATTATTGTTGTTGTCGCTGTCTGCATAATGTCTCTCACGCAATTATTGGTTCCATTCTGGTCAGATATTCAAATGATTTTGAACATGAAAGACCGGCACTGTGATTCATCAAAAGAATGTCATAGCTTAGACTTTGAACATCCGTTTTTGACCGTATTTCCAGAGAGGGTGCAGTTTTAGGTGTTGCTTATGAGAATTAGAATGTGTTTTCCACATTATTACTTGAGGAACTTTAGGAGTTTAGGTACATAATTGGAAGCAGAAGAATTAATTCATCAAATAAAAAGATTATGGTCGAAGAAATACATGAAAACTCATATAAGGTTGAAGCAAGTAATAGAATTAACCAACACATAACTAGTCCAAAAACAAAACCGGAATATGTAGCTATTAACAGATCAGAGAACTTAGAAACTAGAATGCTATATAACCTATAATTACACGACAAAACTCGTACAACGAATATGCTGATGCCATAAATTTTATTAACTTTAGCTTTTGTAAAATTGAAGCTCGTATTTTGGAAATGAAGTAGAGAGCGTCAACATTTGGTTAATAGTCATTGACCACGTTCTGTATCGCTGGTGATCATCCATCATGTCTAGCTTGATGATTCCCTTGTTTGTTGTTAGCACAATAAGATAGCAACTATCTGTTTCTTCTCCGTTAGAATCCTTATACAGCTCGACATGTAGGTCTAATACAACACCTACAATCGGATGTGCAGTTGTTCATAAATTTGTAAATTAGCATAATAGAAAGCATTGTGTACAGATATATAATGCGAGAGGTGGAAGAAGTGCTGAGGTGAAGAAATAGTAATACATATAAGGACATACTTTCCTTTTGTCTTGAGAAGGCCTTCAACATAGTGGCCTTCCTTGTTCTTAGGATAACCTGTAATATAAAAAAGGAATTTAGGCTTGTATTGGAACCTGAGTTGCTTGGACTCTTCACTTTCGGTGCCACACCCATGTCGACACGACGTGGGTGTGGGGTCTCTGGTCAACCAATTTTGCGTATGTTGACCAAAATCGACGGAGAAATTAGGGACAAATACAATGATTTCTGAAATCAAACAAAAGCTAGGGTGAAATTGAAAAAAATGGAATACCTTGCATATAGAAATTGCTATATCAGTCCTTTACATTTTATATTCTTTTCGGGTTCTCCTCTTGATCAATATTTTCTCCTTCTCGGAATACTTTGTAAGTTTTCCACATGATGTTTCATAATTTTGACATATTTTTATAACTCTATTTTAGATGTTTGAATTGTTTTTAGCCGAATCCCCACATCCGTATCCTTACCTGGATCCGTGCCCCCGAATTTTAAAATTTAGATCATAAAGGATCCGACTTCTAGATCTGCACCCATATTGACACCCATACCCGAGTCCGAGCAACTTAGATTGGAACACATGGTATTGAGATGTTGTATGTGACCTCACTCTTCCTTTTTTTGGGTTATCATTGAAATAAAACAGAGAAGAGAATGGTGCTTTAATTTTTCCTTTCGAAATCGCTGTTATTTTCCTTGATATTAAGATGCTGCCATGTTATTGGAGCAAACTTATGTTGTAGGTAGGTAACAAGTGAATATCAGCTGAAGAGATATAAGGATTTCAGTTATGTTCACACCTTCGCTTCGCCATTTAAGATTATAGACACCGACCTTAGCTTGGATCTTCCTGTTCAATGTAGCAAAAAGCAAAAGAATCATCAGTTGATTATCCAACAAAATTTTCAGAGAATAACTTTTGCATCTGAATCTGGAAATACGATATATTGATCCCTCTCTTAATGCTCATCTGTAGCAATTTTCTGTCCAAACTCCTGACAACATGTGGTAAAATTACTAATTATAGAGAAATAGACATACCATCTGATTTCTCAATGTAGAGCTCTGCTCCCTTAGAGAGAATTGATCTGCACTTCTCGTAGTTAAAGTTGTAGTCGTTGCTATCTTCAATTGGGAGAACTGGTGTGCTTCCATTTAGTATATTCTTGAAGCCAGCTCTTGCTTTGAGTGTTTCTGCTCCTCTGAGTGCTGAGACAGTAGCGGTGCAAGTACAAAAAGGCGAGTTTTAGTTGCATTTTCTTTATGTTTAGTTATTGTTAAGTTAGGTTTTGTAACAGTTTAGTTGGTTTACACATTATATTTATGCACACTATGTATTTTAAGACGTGGAGAGAAGCCATTACAGGTCGTAGCTGCAGCTGTAAGGGTCAGAATGTCGCTAGCATTTGTGCCACTCATAGCTGAGCCAATGACACCGGTAAGTTGGTCCCTCTTTGCACCCATAGCTTCTGCTACTTTCGCACATTGTGCCGCGACCAATGCAGCTGCGGATGCCACAGCTGACTCCTTGGTACCTCCTGTTTCATCACGGTTCAAGTTTTCAGCAGCGATGGCGGCTAATGCGGCTGCAACACCTGCCACTGATATTGCTGCATGTACTTCCGCCTTCTGTAATCTCTTCTCTTCTTTCCTTCTCTGCTTAATTTCTTTAATCCATTTCTTGATTGACACATTCTTTAATGGTCCTATTTTCCATGGCATCTGCATGAAACAAGCTCTCCTCACTTAGTTTATTTTCACCATCACTACTAAAAAAGTAGGAATTAGCGACAGGCAAATTTTATAGCTAAACAGAAAATTCCGCTGTTAATCTTATTTAGCGACAGATTAGCAACTCTTTATCAAGAAATTCTGTTAGCTACGAGCAATTTAGCGACAGATTAGTGACGAAGATTGTAGCTAATTCCAGTTTTTTTGCAGTGCATGTTGCTTAAATCCAATAACGGTAGCTTTTGATAATTGAATGTTTCTGCACTTACCCATTTTTTCTGGAAATAGCTGTTGTAATTCAACTCTGGATGCATTGCTTGCTGCATCCATATCCACGACTAACGAAAAAATGAAAGTGTGTCATTAGCCTTTTCTGAATTAATATGAGGTGATAGTGTACAGATTTTGTACTCTATTTCTTACCTTGACGTCGTTGGATTTCCATGGCGGTATTGACTTATCTGTATCATCCATCTTCATACTCTTCTCCATCTTCTATGATCACCAACATGATATATTAATGCTAAATATGAACCCTAATGTTTTGTAGTATTTGTGTCATCCTAAACATGATTTGCGAGTTATTAACTTACCGGAATAGGAGGTTTGTTGTCGATGATTGAATTCTTGATCGAGCTTTCGTGGAGAATGAGAGCTTGATCTTGCATCTCCGGCTGGAAAGCTTGAACTGCAAAGTTGCACCAAGCGCGCGAAAGGAAGTCCATTGTCTCAGGATGTGCTTGTGAAATTGTTGGATTTGAGTCAAGATCCATCTTTTCTCAACAAGTGTGGCAGTTGCTCTATAGTTTGTAAGGTGAGTTTGATAGAATGCTAAATTAACTTAGAGATATAAATAGGCAGATATTTGAAAGCTAAAAAGTATCAAAATCACATCTTATTCTGAGCTATTTTGTTGGTTATCATCATAGGGTCCATAACATCTATAAAGTGTCAATTCATAGCTTTATTATGAATACAAAGCCAGCCTTCATGAATCATTAGCTTTGCTTGCTTAACCCCTTTAACAACAATCCACCCTCATATTTAAGATAACATTTTTTTTTAAAGTTTATTTTGGTATCTAATTCCAAAAACTCATGTGTGAATATGAGTTCTTGAAAAAAAGCTATGTACTTTTGTATTTTGATAAAGGTGGTGTTCGGGACAGTTTGTCGTGTCTCAACTATTCCACTATGTACCTGCTGTCTCCCACCAACACAAGATACCAGATAATTCTTCCTACCAAAGCTTAAGCAATCTTTTCATATACGTAGTATCACCATTACTCTCGTATTTTCTTCTTCTATATATATATATCTCTATTACTACCGGTTGTCTTATTATCATGCTGTTGTTACTGTTTTTTGTTAGTGCTTCTTTTTACATGCTTCTCCATTGATGTATTTCTTTTCAGTAATGTTGTGACTATGCTTTTTCTGAGCCGAGGGTCTCTTAGAAACAACCTATCTACCTTCACAAGATAGGGGTAAGGTCGGCGTATACACTACCCTCCCTAGACCCCACTTGTGAGATTACACTCGAAGTGTTGTTATTTGAAGAGATGCTAAAGAATTGCCTTGATGAGATGTAACAGATAGAAAGATTTATGAAAAGCTAACCCCTTTTGATATTTAATTGATATAATCATATATTTATAGAATAAAAGGGACCCAAAAGGTGTTTTCCAAATCAATAGATGTTCTTTTGAAAATGCCCTAAATTTTCCATTGAGGATCAA